CATAATAGTGTCTACCTGGATAAGGTTTAAGTTATATAACATTTGTAAACTGCAATAGCACAGTGCCTGTCATAGACTGAGCCTGCAATAATTGATGATCACAGCCAACATTCCTGTGAAGCACTTACTATGTGTCTGTCCATCAATCCTATGAGGTAGGATTGTTACTTCTGGGAAATAAGAGCTCAGAAAGGTAAAGGAACTCATCGAAGGTCACACAGTAAAAGCGGCAGAATCAAAACCTATACCTCCGTCTATAGAGTCTGAGCCCCTCACTACAACCCTGTGGTGTCACATGTGTGGCATGACTTTATGCTGTCAATACTGAGTCTTCCTATGTGTCAGATGCTGCTCCAGATGCTTACTGTAAGCCCACTCGCTGAATCTTCACATTCACCTGTGACACTTATTCAATTGACACAGCAAGGGGACAAAAGTTGGAGACAGTGCCAGGAGAAGTTAAGATAAGCACCAAACAGTCACAGGTACCAGGGAAACAGTCCCGGCAGAAAATGTCACTGTCTCCAGTGACATCCTTAGATGGGAGGGAAAATCATTACCAATGACACAAGATGCGCAACCGAGATAATGCGCCATTTTGCTAGCTCCAGAATCTTTGTGAGGAGCCAGGTGATTGCAACAGTAGGAGGAGAGGAAGGAGCAGTGCAATGGGAAGGTTGGGCTTTGATATGAAACACCAATTCTTCACTCACTAGCTGTTATCTTTCAGTAAGTCACTCAACTTCCCTGGGTCTTGGGGTGGGGCTTAGTATTGCAGAAATAATACCTAATTTATTTTAGTGCAATGGGAATAATAATACCTAATTTGTAGACTCGTTTTGAAAATTGAAGGGTTTTTTTGTTGTTGTTGTTTTTATTAGTTCTTTGTAGCCATACATAATATTGGGGTTTATTGTGACATGATCATATAGACATGGGATATAAGTTGCTCCAATTCAGCTGCCAGTATTCCTACTGTTCTTTAGCTCTCCTTACCCCTGTTACCCTTCCTCAACTCTACAGGCCTTTCTTCTATGTATTCATAGTTGTTCATACAGGTGTTTTATAGATGTATGTAAAGGGGACATTCACTGCTGTATAGTACGTAGTATAGTTTGGTTCCTCTTCCTTCCTGTTCCTCCCCTTTCCCCATTCCTCCACTCCACTGGTCTCCCTTCTATTTTCATGCAATTCCGCCCCCACCCCTTTTCCTTTTGGTCTAGCTTCTACATGGGAGAGAAAACATGGCTTATTCACCTTACATGATGTTCTCCATTCCATCCACATACCAGTAAAAGCCATATTTTCACTTTTCTTTCCAAGTGAGTAAAACTCCATTGTGTATATGTACTACATTTTCTGCATCTATTCATCCGTGGGTGGGCATTTGACTATGGGTTCCATGACTTGGCTATTGTGAATTGTGCTACTATAAACATGGATGTGTCTCTATCACTCTATGATGTGGATTTTAGTTACTTTGAATAAATACCAAGTTGTGGGACAACTGGGTCATTTGGTGGTTCCATTCCTAGTCTTTTGATGGTCCTCCATACTGCTTTCCAGAGTGATTAATCTAATCTCTAGTCCTACCAACAGATATGACTTTACCTTTTCCCCCATATCCTTGCCACCACCTACTGTTACTTTTGTTCTTGGATGATTGTCATTCTAATTAGAGCGAGATGAAATTTCAGTGTAGTTTTGATTTGTGTTTCCCTGATTACTAAAGATATTGAAGATTTTTTCATGTATTTGCTGCCCCCCTTTCTTGTTTTTTTTTTTTTTTGAGAAGTGTCTGTTTAGTTCTTCATGTTTTGTGCACAGAATATACCCAATAAATATTAGTTCCCTTATATGCCACAGTGTGCGATAAACCAGGAAAGGTTGATGTTTAAGGTATTTACAGCATAGGTAAACTATGCGCTCTTCGTTGTAGGGGGAAATTGAAAAGTGTAACCTTGTTCTCCTGTCTAGTAATGAACACTGGAAAATCCTGCCAAGAGCAGAGGAAAACAAAAGAATTTTTCCTGATTTGCCTCTGAAATAAGGAAAATGTGTATGTACGTCCTCACTGTTATATTGGGCGGGCTTTTCCAACAGAGTCCCTTGGGTTGGAACAGAATGCAAGTCTGATGACAAAGTAGAATTCCAGATATCCAGTCCTGGATGGCTTTCGAGGTCATCCAGAAGGACTTTAACATGATATCACCCTGTCGGATCGTTGTTACTTGGAGGGTTTGATTATAATGTAAACTCTTCCAGATCCCAAATTATGGAGCAATCGAAGCATATAAAATAACCACTGTTTCCTATTGCTGACTTTTTAAAAATCTCTGCATAAAATGCTTCACTGTTCCATCATTGATTTCCTTTGCTTGTTCATCTCACGATCTTCAATATAGCATTGATTAATACCTCATTCTTTTTGCAAGGCTTTATTGACAGTAAATTATTATTTGTGAAATAAAATTATAACTCGAAAAGACTATGTTATATACTGTGATTGATGGAAAAATATGCTTTTAACTTGCAGGGCAAGACCAATTTTCTAACACTTCACTTCTATTTGCTCAAACGCATTACTCTTGTAAAGCACCAATTACAGCTAATAACGGCATTATTCTCACCTCAGTAAGTACTTGGTTTGGTAAAGCTTTAAGGACTCTCAACTTTGACAATCAATTTAGTTAACTACAGGAAAGAGCTGATTTTATACAGATTATTGCCTTAATATGATATTGCTCCCCCAGCTCACATCTATGAAGTGGTGTTGCACATACATGTCCATATACTTTTATGACACTTGCCAGATAAAACATACTTTAGAAGTCCTATTTGTATAAAATCACATGTATTCAGGTTTGAAATCCTATTTTGACCCCCATGTCCCTAAAGGTTGCAGGCTGTATTAAATGAATGCTAGAGCACGTAAAAGTTACAAACGCAGAGGGACAGGGGATTTAACTTCAAGCAGAAGATTGAAGTGGAGACCAGTGGGAAGGTAATAAACACCATCTTGGTTTGGGGGGGGGCCCATCATCTAATTTACTCCCCAGTCCAAACCTGGAATTCTTCCAAAATGACTACTCACTCCTTAACTCCTATTTCCAACCAAGGTAATGAGGGTATGTCAATTCTATCTTTTAAGTGTCTTTCAAATCTTTCCCCTCCATTCCACAGCCTGAGTTTCAGTGTTCTTATGTTTTGCAATGCAGAAGGATTTCTAAGTTTCCATTATTCCAACCAAGAACATGCACATTAATAGATGGCAACTGTGATCACTTGGACTTTTGATTAAATGGACCCTGGACATCCTCTGCAGCCCTAAATCTGGGCAAACTTTCCCCCATTCTATTATATCCTTGCCTGTGCCAGCTCTCTAGACTAAAATCTGATCTCAACTCTCTTCCTGCTTGCGCACTTCTCTGAATTCTGCTCATCTGAAAAGAAAGCTCAAGCTTTAAAAGTCTTTACTGAATTCAATTCAGAAAACAGAAGCTGTTGTGCTCCAATACTGTAGAACCTATAACCTGGGACTTCCCACAATCCCATGGAGAATGAACAATATAGGGTTCCAAAGTTGGTATTGCAAGACAGAACTTTTCCTGTATTTGTGAAACAACTCAACCCATTCCCCTAAAATAGAAGAACTCCATAGCATGGAGGTTAATTTGATTAGATTGTTTCTTAGCTTTAACCACAAATATTAAAAACAGATCCATTCTGAAGCCTGAAGCAGCATCTTCAACCTTGGTATACAGACTCCTAGTCAACCCAAGCACCAACAAGCCCAAGCCCAACCATGAGTGATGGCCAAGTCACTCAGGGAAGAGAGGCAGCCCTTACCCTTCTCATCCTTCAGTCAGCCTGGAAAACACATGCAAAAAACCATTATCTGGAATGTTGAGTGTATTTAGAGATAAGAAATGGAGCTACAAGAGCATCAAGGAAGGGTTTCCTAGGAAGGCAGAGAAAAGCACTCCACGCCGATTCTGCCTGAGCAAAGGCAGAGAAGAGTAGCTGATGCATAGGTTGCCAAGCATAGCACCTTGTAATTCAGAAAACAACCTGTTATCATGTTTGGGATTTTCACACGAAAACCTGTTATTTTTGTTGCACTTAAACAGGAGTTTGTTTTCATTGCTCATATAATTATTAACTTTTGCAATCAGAACAAGAAAAAGTTTTTTCAGGTCGGTGGATTGCAACAACTACCTCCTTTTTAGTAAGTTGAGAACTTATATCGCTCTGTATAGGTTAGGATCACTAATTAAAAAAAAATTAAAAGCTCAGAATAATGCCAAAAGTTACTTTATCACCATTTTCTTTCCATTTCAAATCAAATGAGTAATTACCTAGTCTGAACAGGGACCCTAAACACCAGTAACAAATTTTCTTCAAAGAAGCATAAAAGCCAATTCCTAAGATATGAAACCCCACTGACTTTTTTTTCTATCTGCATCTTTCCCAAATAGTGCCAGAGAAGATTTTTCTCTTCAAACTGAGAACTTGCTCAGTTATACAAAGCAATGAACAAGAAGGTGTAACTGGACAGGTAGTACTCTTAAATAAGGCTCAAAGCCTAATTGCACTCAGAAATCTCAACTCCTACTTCACGAAACCTTCTACTAACATGGCTAAAATTGTGGGAAACATGATACCTTGAGTTTATCCTGTATTTCTTCCTGCATTATTTACTTCAGCTGCTTAAAAGCTACCAGATACAGAAGCACAGGTATAAAAATGGAGGCAAATCAAACAAGGGATCGTAAAGGAAAGCAATGCCCCTAAAGTGGATCACCAGCCTCGGAAAGAACTCTGAGGCAAGATCACAGCCGAGGTCCATATCCAATCTGATCAGGAATTCCATCTAGCCAACACCAGGTTGCAGGATGTACTGAGTCATGCCACATCACTCATCCACAACCCCTTTCATCTGACTTCACGTTCCGCCTTCCCCCAGCAAACGCTCCACAACCCAGTGTGCTTTTACTTACGATTGTGAAGTTCATCACTTTGAGAATCCAGATGGTCATGGCCAAGTTCACCAGTATCAAAATCATGAGGAGCAGGACAAAGAAATAGAGGCATCTTTTCCGCCAGCCGTAAATCCCCACCTTGTAGACCTGTGGCCCCTCGGAGCTGGGCATGGTGCTCCGGTGGTGTGTGTACTGTTCCTGAGGCATCTGAAATAAACGAGGTGAGAGAAAAGTACACACATTAAACTGCTGAGAGAGAGTGAGCAAAAAAGATAGGAAAAAAATCAACTGATGAAGAGATATGGCTGGCTACTGTGCGTGTTCTCACCCTCCTGACAACTCTAAAAATCTGTCTCCTCTGGACAAAGGTGGCTTCTCTGGATGCTTGCTTTAGCCCTCCCTTTCAAAGCAGCCTTCTTTCCTGATGCGCACTGAGACATCCACATCCGCATACATCCTGGGAGGAAAGGGTCTCCTAGGAAGATATTTTCCAAATAACTCTTAGAATTCCAACATCTTAGTGAGGGAAACAGTCAGAGACTCATTCAAACTCTAAAGGTGAAACTTGGAGTTAGTCTGATAAAAACAAACAAAAATAAAGCAATCCATACCTTGCAGTTCATCTTGTAGGGTAAAAATTATTCAGACCATTTATTTGGAGAGTAAAATAAGATCTCAAATGCAATCATTCTGTATTGCTAACCAGTAAGTGGCAAAAGTAACCATTTTCATCTTTCCTATTTCAGAGTTAAAAAGGGCCCCGATGGACACACAGCTGAAGCTTCACTGAGCTGGGAGACTTCACTGAGTGGTAGAATATTATAGACCTTGGTATCTGTGTTACTCCTTGTGCATTATCCAGCTCTGTTTTCAACTGACTTATTTACCTAGTCAACATAAGAAAGCCAAGATGTGCTTCTGCCTTCCAGGAGCCGATAGGCTGATATGAGCACTGGTCAACATAAAATAAGTGCAGAAAAGTATTTGTCAACCAGAGGTACTGTTGATCACCTTTAACGCAAGAAATCTTTCCCCAATCCCTTTGTGTTGACACAAATGATCCTAATACTAGCAGTGCTAATTGGTTACCAACATCACTTGTTTTTAGAATTCTAAAACCAAAACAAATCTTAAAATTAGGGGCAAGCAGAGTTATAAAACACCTGTCATTCGAAATGGGAAAGAACTAATGACTCCACAGAAGGATTTGCTAGAAGTCAGTCTCAAGAGTGTGGCACCAAGGGCCTTGGTACAGGGCCTCTGAGCACAGCATCTCTGCTCTGCCTTAAACCATCCAAGGACACAGCCAATGCTGCTCCTCTCTATTCAGAGTACTGTGCAGCCTTTATCTGGGGCATTTACTTCCTGTGGCCCCTTTGTAGGAATACTACATTCTCTGCAGAGAAGGGCTGCCTGTTTATTCTTTCTTAGCCGGTAGCAAATAATTAGTAATATGTGGTGCGAAAGTGACCATAAGCACAAACTAAAATGTGAGTCCTTAAAAAAAAAAAAAATCACAGCTTTGTGTTATTTGGTCATGTTCTCCATGGTTTAGAAGATGATTATTTTATGACTTTTAGATAATCAGCAAAAATTTCCCCATAGGACACATGGCCATCAGGCATCCAGTGGAATTCCATTCAAAAACCTGAGTGAATTCTTCCTGATGGCAGCCATAAAAGCCAGCATGACATCTGTCTCGTTCCCAACACTGCCCTAGTGCTGAAATCAGTACCTAATGTGATTAGATGCTTAAGTGCTGTGTGTGGAATTGATGAATGAAAAATATGAACATGTGAATTTAGAGCAAATAAATGACTTTATATCCCCTACTGGTGCTGATGCTGCCTGGGAGTGTATACAAGAGGAAGTCAAGCACCACCAGGAGGTTCCTGTGTGTGTCCTTGCAAATCTCCCCTTCAGGCTCCCAAGCCCACGGTTCCCAGTCGAGGAGTAAGCCTTGTGCTCTAAGGTGATCCCTGTTTTATTGCCCAGGCTGAGAATTCTGTTGATGATGAGAAGTGTTGTAAGAAGATGAGGCACGCTCATCACACAGCAGTCTTATATACACCAACATAATTTTATTAAAGGGAAAAAATGTTGCAGAAGTCCATAGGAAATTAGACCTTTGTTTTCCATTTGATCATATTCTGTGAAGTAAAGAAAGGATCATAGAATCTTAGAAGACCTACAAGTTCCTTTGATTTGAATCTACTTTTTATGGAAGAACTGAAATAGAATTAGAGAAGTTGACCCACATGTATATGGTGGTAGGATTAGTGGTAGGGCAAGGATACAAATGACAGTCCAGGATTCTTGCAGGCATGATGGACAGTGAACTACCCCATAATACCGCTGCCAGCATAGCACATGTCCTTTCTCTGTCACTCAATGCAACTGATGATATCATTATATAACTTAGATATAAAGTGGTCATTTATTAAAAATGGTATGGTCAATAGGTAGAAGAGAATGGGGACACAGATACCAAGTTGAGACTTTTTGGTTTTAATACGTAGACTGTTAAAACTTGACAGAAGGCAGTGGTTGCTTTCAGTAGATGTTTTTAGTTCAGAGTCCACTGTGGAGTTATTAAAAACAGCTACATTGAGGTTAATTAAACAACAGTCAGGGATAGAGCACCATTGTATCACTATTAATCAAAGTTTGCAGATAATCCCATTGGGCTGCAATAATGGCAACCCTGACCCTGTGTCAGCCCCAAAGGAAACCTAAATACAAATTCTGATCTCCATCATTAGAATCTGGGCTCAGGGTGATTCATTGCTAAAATACTACCCAGGTAATTCTGAGCATTTGAGATAACATCAAAAACTCAATTTCATTTCTTTATGATGTAACCATGTTAAGAAAAATCTTGAATGCAACCTCAGCAAGAAAATAGCAGAAAAGCAGAGTCCCACCACTTAAAACAGGAACCACAGTCTGGCTGCCTTGGAAAAGCACTTCTGTGGAGACCTTCGGCTCCTAGGACCCACAGACTTTCTCAAACACCATTACAGATGAACCCTTGGCCAGGAAGAAGTAGCAGCTGCTTTTCAAGCCATACAGAGAATCAGAAGCAGAGCAATGATTAGAACTCAGGTCCTCTGGTGCGTGGGGAGTGGGCTGTTTTACGTACCTCTAGGTTCTCACATCTTTACCACTTACTCTAGAAACAATACTCCAGTGCCCAACTCTAAAACTAACAAAAAACAGGGAGGAAGAGAGCAATTTTCTACAACTGATTACAACAGGAGTCCTTGCCACGCAAACGTAAGGTAGTGAGCACATCTGTTCTCAATTATCCTGCAGAAAAAGGGAACATACTCAGCATATCTAGTTTTTCATTTCTCTAGTCAAAAATCAAAACACGTTGAAATGATAAAAGAAGAAAGACAACCTCTAATCTGTGTTTCTTTTTATTCCTTCCCCAAAAAAATCTGTCCACAGAACGAAGTTGAACTTTCAAATCTTCCCTCGGCCAGGGCTCTTTGAAAGTCCTGGGGGGGTCCCAGGAATGCATGAACATTGTCAAAAGTTTCTGAGCAAAGTAAGAAAGTTTACTTTTAATTTATTAAACCATATTTTATTCTACTTTGCCTTCCTTCACACTTTGATGGACTTATACAAATTTTAGAGATTTAATGAAGAGGAGGTTGAATTGGGGTTCACTTATCTTGGGTGCTGCAGATGTATTTAAGTGGTTTTCAGCCACTTTCCTGTGGAGGCACAGGATTGCCAGCTCTCCTGGGACAGGACTGTATTCCAGAAATCCTCCTTTTACCCCTGGTGCCAACTCAACAAGCACTGTGACATAAAGGTGCAGCGTCCAAAAACTACATACCAAGGTAAACAAGCACCAGAAATATATGAGTAATAAGGAGAAAGATGTGACTAGGAAGAGAAAATGATCAGAAGTATAAAGTTGCAAGTGTAAGATTCAAGCCTACTCAAAACAGAAATTCTTTACATGCAGTTCATCATACATAATTACAAATGCTCTATTTCTTCTTCTTTTTTTTAGGAACCAAGGAAATGGAATCAAACAGAAGACTCATATTCATAGATTCTGTCCATCAGGGGGGATTTCAATGTAAAGTTGCAAGCTTTAAGTATCTGTGGGTCATCAATAATTAAAAATAACTGTCAAGGTTGCCATAGGAGATAATACCTTTTTATTAACCATTTTCCACTCTCACTTTTTTTTTTATAGATGTCATCTAAAGAGGCAGCCCAAGGCTAAGCCACTAAGATGTGTAAAAGTATATATGATGTCACCGTTTAAAAATTAATAATGTAATCTCGTTTTTCATTCTAAATACATATTCATGTTTTTATCTTAAGTTTGTATTCCTAGTTTTATTTTCTTAAAATAGCCACTCAAATTGAGCTTCCAGCCTCATTAACCCCAGATTCTCTCTTGTTCCCTCCCATCAGGAGCCCTAAGTGCATACCAAGACCTGGGTATAGCACTGCAGACTCTATTGCCAAGCTGAACACAGTGGAGTCCCTGTTCCACCAGCATGGTTTTTAAACTTTAGGTTGCAGATGAATCACTCAGGAATAGATTAAATGCAAATTCTTAGGCTTCACACTAGGAGATGCCAGTTTAGTGCACCTGTGTCAGGAATCTCTTTTTAGCTAGCATCAACATGGATACTTATGCACCTGGGTCACCCTCTTCTTCCCATGCACACTTCACCATGCTTCACACTTTTTCTTTACTCTTGGAGCTTTCATTTTCACTACCCTCTTTCAGCAGTCTATGTGGCTTTTAGTTTTCTCTTTTGGAGAATCTGGGTATTTCATTGCCTTTAAAAAAAAGATTTAGTTATTAAAGAGGACAAACATACCATTTTTGTGGACAGGAGTCAAATGGAAACATAATCAATTTTCATGAGCAACAGAATAAGGAATATAATGGGATATTATGTAGCAGTAAAAATTAAGAAGCAATCTTTATACATTTACACAAATGAGTCACACCTATATATCAATGAACAGAAAGGGCAAGTTGTAGAAGAAATGTGCATAATCTGATTGTATTAATGTTATGTCTAGAACCATGGAACATGATATTTTTGGAATATGTATGTTCAGAGCATGTATAAAGAAAAGCATGCTGATAGGAATCATTGCATTTAGAAAAATTGGGTGTTAGGAAAGTAAATGGGATCAAAGGGAGGTGTATATGGGTACTTAGC